TTTTCTATTGAATATGATATATAATTTTACTTTTTCCTTCAGATCTATATCAATCTTAAGAACCGGAAGGAATGAGAGAAATATAATGGATTGATTTTAGTTTTTCGGTTGAATATGATACATAATTAAAAATGTAATGGATTAATTTTACTTTTTCAGGCATAGAAAGTAAAGTGAATGAGGTGGTCTTTTAATGAAAATAAGAAGATGTTTTGTCATTGGGAAACAAAAAAAGAAGTTTATTCTGGTTTTGTTGTTGGATTTCTTTATATTTCCTTTCAACCTTTTCTTATGATTTCACTGTTTCAAATTGTTTTTGTATTTATAACACTTAAATATTGATGTGCAGACACTATAAGATAGATTTCAGATTGATTTTAGACTGTTAGTGACCCAAAGATAAGTACAATGTTGTCATTTCAAATATACTTTTAAATCCTCTATTAGATAATGTTGAGAAAATATACTGAGTGGTAATTTCAAATATATAATTCCAAGCTTCAAAACTCAAAACATTATGAAATCCATTTTTTCATTGTCAGTTTTCTTCTATCTTTTGTTCTAATTTCTTTTTAGATTTTGTTCTTCTATTTATGAACTTTCTTTTTTCATTATGAAATTTCTTAAGAAATATTTTCTTTAATTTCAGTTGAGTTTCTCCATTTTCATTTTCTTTAATATTTTGTATTTTTTTTGTGTGCTGGGTTTGATTATCTCCATCCTCTTTCTATGTTTTGATTTTAAGCCCCTTTCTATTTGATTTTTTTTCAATTTCATTTTGATTTTCTTATAATTTTTCAATTAAGATTTCTTTACTATTTTATTTTAATACAAATATATTGAACCAAATATTTTTATAAACGGAAAAAATATATTGTTGATATAAATACTTTTATAAATAAAAAATATATATTATTGATACAAATATTTTTATAAACGAAAAAAGATATATTATTGAGACAAATCTTTTTATAAACATAAAAATATATATTATTGATACAAATATTTTATAAACAACAAATTTTTATATACGAAAAAAATTTACTATTTTAAAAAAATCAAAAATAATTTAAAAAATGTATAATAGGTTTTATACTGTTTGATTATATATTAGTGTCAATTTTTTCCCCTATTTTTAAGGCTTCTTTTAAGGCTTCTTTATGAAAAAGTGGAAATAGGTAAAATGATTCTCTTAAAAAGAAAAATGATTAGACTTTAGATTAAAAATTATACATAAGATAAGATTACAACCTACTACGTCAGAGTCAAAAATATTGACATTAACTCAAAATATTAAATATTAACGAAAATATAAAATTATTTATCAAAAATATTAACGAAAATTTGAAGTTATTATCAAAATATTGAATATTAACAGAAACATAAAATTATTGATCAAAATATTAAATATTAACGGAAATATGAAATTATTGATTAAAATATTTAATATTAAAGCAAACATAAAGTTATTGATCAAAATATTAAATATTAATGAGAACATAAAGTTATTGATCAAAATATTAAATATTAACGAAAACACAAAATTATTAATCAAAAAACATGAAATTATTGATAAAAATATTGAATATTAACGAGAATCTGAAGTCATTGATTAAAATATTTAATAATAACGCAATTATGAAATTATTGATCAAAATATTGAATATTAACAAGAACATAAAATTACAGATCAAAATATTAAATATTAATATAAATATAAAATTACTGATCAAAATATTATATTAATAAAAAATAAAATTATTAATCAAAATATTAATTATTAACGAAAATATAAATTTATTAGATCAAAATTTTTTTTTATTAATTATATAATTAATTATTTTTTTATGGATAACCTAACATTTTTCTATTACAAAATATAAATCTGAAGTAAATGTGCCTCCCATTCTAGAACTCGTGAATTTACCCGTTAATTACTAGTAAATCAATAAAAATAAAAGAGCAAGAAGATTAATATTTTGGCACGTGTGACCGGTAACCACCCTGATTTAGTCGAACTCGCGCGCTTGCAAAGCCTCTTCCTCCGTTCTCGTCGTCTCTTCTCCCTCAAACCGCACTCTCCTCCGTTACTCTCACACTCTCTCAGGTATCGCCACCGTTTCAATTTCATTTTCTCGTTTTTTCCTTCCTTTATTTCCACCATTCAATTTTTCATCTCTAGATAATCGATCACACATAACTGAAGCTTTCTATTTTTTTTTTTATACCAATTTTGATTTGTTTTTAGTTTGGTTCTGTTTTTCGTTATTAGTTTGAAATTCAAGTTCTTAGAGTGAATTTTTTGGATAATTTTTTCCCTAATTATTTTTGCACAAGATTTGTTGGCAATTAGGGATTTTGCATTAACTACTACTGATTACTCCTTTTGATTTCATTCTATTGAAATCGGTTGATCTTGTTCAATTCTTTTGACATTGTAATCTGCATCCACGTGCAGTTTTGAAAGAAAAAAAAGTTATTTAAAGATTGTAACAAATACTTACCATTATTTCAATCATTTTGAGTTTCGTTGCTTCATTTTAATAAGATTAGGAATACAATTTGTTAGAGTGGCCCTCATTGTGAAAAATATGGTTAAGTCTCATCTTAGGTAATTTGGGCATGTGTGGAGAAGATTCACTGAAGCACAGACAAGGAGAATTGATCCAACCGGAGATAGTTATATATTTAGATAGAGTGTTGGGGATCAAAGGAAAACTCTAAGACAGACTATTAAGGGAGGTTAAGTTATAAATGGTCTATTTTTTGACTTTATATACACGACAACATATTATTATCGGATTGATTAATACATGTAGTCGATGCCATCTAGTGGAAATAGGTATAACGAGTGGCCAGATCATTAAGGGAGATTAAGTGGTGTAAATGCTCTGTCTGTGAATTTAATTTGTGCCACGGGATTATGGAGTTGAATTGTCCGTGTAGCTGATCCCATCTAGTGTGAAAAGTTTTTGTTGTCTTTGTGTAGTTTGGATTTCTGCATAATTTTGTATAATCAATAATTTCTATAAACATCAAATAGCAACCATTCACTAGTTTGTATAATAGGAAATTGAGGAAACTATCATCATTAAGGAAATAGGTAAATTAGTTGGAGCGAATTAGCACTATTTTGGTCAGACTCGTAAATGGAGCTGATGTGGCTTTAAAACTAAATATAAAGTCCTGTGACTATTGTTCTTAATAAAGTCTTGTGACTATTGATTATTGTTGGTAATGGTGGACTATAAGCAGTTGCTATAGCTTTTACTGGTATGCTTCCTTTTGTGCTATCCACATACCTAGTTTTTATAAAAGAACCGTTTCTTGCATCTTTATGAATGTCTGTCAGTAGTTGTTGTTTCTAACTTTTTTATTTTTAAGGAGCTTGTAATCCGAACATAGAGATGGAGCTTAATAGCATCAAAGATGCATTTGACCGTGTGGCTAAGAAGCAAAAGCTATGTTCTTCCAAGTCTCAAGAAACTGTTGACCAGGTAGGGCATGAAATTGAGCAGGCATTGGCAACACTTCAGTCACCTCAGGGTCCCTCAATTCCAGCTGACCAGAAATCCGTTCTTACAGAACTTAAGTCAAAGCTCAGTGCGATTGGGTCACTTCAACAATTAGAAGGACCGCATAAGGAATTGAACTCAAGTCTTGCCAAGTATCAGAAACTTCTTGAAAAATCGTTAAACACTGACATCTCAAAGGCATACAGAAATGTGGAGTTCGATACTCATATTATCAATCAGATCATTGCAAGCCACTTTTACCGTCTAGGTTTATTTGATCTTGGAGATAACTTCATAAATGAGGCCGGGGAGCCTAACGCAACTGTACTTAGATCTCAATTTTTGGAAATGCACCAGGTTATTGAAGCCATGAGGGGTAGAAACCTACAGCCTGCTCTCACATGGGTCTCTGCCAATAGTGAAAAACTTGCCCAGATTGGTTCCAATCTTGAACTTAAGGTTCACACGCTGCAGTATGTAGAGGTTGTGCAAAACGGAACCCAAGCTGATGCCCTAAAATATTCCAGAACTTATCTTGCGCGTTTTGCTGAGACCCACAAGGATGACTTCCAAAAGCTCATGGGTTGCCTCATGTACATAAAAAGGCTTCAGAACTCCCCTTATTCTGAATTGCTCTCCCCAATTCATTGGGAGACGACAACTGAAGAGCTTGCGCGACAGTTCTGCTCTCTTATGGGGCATTCCTATGAGAACCCTCTGAGTATGGTGTTTGCAGCTGGAGTTGAAGGCTTGCCCACACTGCTAAAGTTAGCAAATGTAATGGCTGCAAAGAAGCAAGAATGGCAGGAAATGAAACAGTTGCCAGTGCCTGTAGAATTGGGTAAAGAATTTCAGTTTCATTCGATCTTCGTTTGCCCCGTGAGTAGGGATCAAGGCAGCGAAGAGAATCCTCCAATGCTGCTTCCATGTTTACACGTCCTTTGCAAGCAATCGATTCTGAAGTTATCTAAAAACAGCACACGAACATTCAAGTGTCCATATTGTCCAGCAGAAACTACAGTCACACACTGCAGACAAGTGTATTTCTGACAATGTCTCCGCACTTCTATCACATCTATTACATTCGTAAAGTACAACACCTATAGCTTTCTGGTTGTATATAGATACTCTAAATCATCTTTTGCATTTGACAAGACAAGTGCGTGAATAAAAATCGAAAGAACTTGTTGATAACCTAGAGCTCTGATTTCATCTCCATCACCTTGGCTTGTCTGAAACACTTTTAAATGTGCTTCCATGATCTCACATGTTTAAAATAATGGTTGCACTATAGATGTAGTAGTAGTAGTATAATGTTTGTTTATAATAATTCAACAGTGTTTGGTAACACATTATTTTCTTTAGTTCGATTAAATAGTACTGTTATAAGAAAAAGAAGAAAAAAAACTAATTAACCAAAACAAAACATGCCTCCTCAAATAAATTGTTACAGAACAAGAAAATAAAAAACACAGTGATTGTTTTCTATGGAAAACCAATAATACTATCAAAGGGAAACAAAGGAGAAGAAGGAGGAGGAGTAGATTTAGGAGGAAGATTCTGTTTGAGCAAATATTCTTCGACCAATTCTTTGGTATATTTTGCAGACAAAGGTTGAAAAAATTGACTCAATTCTTGAACAAAGCCATTAATCAAAACCCACTTCTCATCTTCATCAATTTTGTTCCATTTTTGTTTAGCTTCTTGTTCATTGAGGTGAAGATAGTGGCAGAATTCTTTGAAGAGAATATTTCTGCTCTTTGTCATGACTTGCTCTGCTTGGACCGCACGTGCGTTGATAATTGATACTTTCTCTGCAAACTCTGAGGCCAGAGAAGCGTCGTTGTTGTTTTTGTTGGAGCATGAGATTCGAGTTTTGAGTTTGGTGTTGGTGATGGGTGAGACGGTGAAGAACATGGGAATGTGTTGAATTCTCAGAGCCATTGACGAATCTTAATCGTTTGAGGGAAAGAGAATAATAATAAAAGAAGAAAAAAGAGGAGTGGTTGTGAATACTGAAAATGGATCATATTAATGTGACATCAAACGGTTTATATCACAAACTTGATAATTGTAATTTAACCTACTAATTTGACAAAAAGTCAAATTAACTCTATTTAATTCTTTTTCATCCTACCATTTAATGTGAGATTTGAACGAATATATATATATATATATATATATATATATATATATATATATATATATATATATATATATATATATATATATATATATATATATATATATATATATATATATATATATATATATATATATATATATATATATATATATTGGTAATTGAATAAATATTTATTTTGATGATGGTAGGAGCCCTTGCATTATGTATTGCAGATCTTCAAGAGAGGTGTACTCGTTGATCTTAAATTTTTGAGATGATGTATTGTTGGTAAAGTGAACATTTCCAACATGTCATTTGATGTTCATGATGGGTTTTTGTGTTTTTGTATGAAACAAAACTACAAGTTAGCTTATTTATAAGTAGTAGGGTGATATTATGGACCACACAAACCCTATTTGTTGACAGAGAATGTGTAAGAATAAGATTTGGTTCTGCAATATTATCTGAGTTTTGATGATAACAAATGAGTATGTTTGTATGAACAATTTTGATACTCTAATGTTTGTTATTGTTGAGTACTTAACAAACAGGTTTTGCTTCTGATGAATGACGTGACCAAGACATTAGCAGAGAATTAGTTCCGCTTCTGCGCTACACAAGTTCTGTTGAACAGTAGCAAGACACTTCAGAAGGCTCTGAAGTGTAGGCTCTAATGTTTGTCTAAAGAAACCAGTCAGAATATCTGAAGACAGAAGTTGCTACTTAAGTCCTGATGTTGAAGACTCATGATTCTGAAGACAACGGGTTCTAAAGAAACAGTCAGAAGATCTGAAGACAGAAGTTTCTATTCAAGCCCAAATGCTAAAGACTCAAGTTTCTAAAGACCCAAAGTTCTAAAGATAAGGATTCTAAAGACCAAGTGGCGAAGACTCTAAAGACGGAAGTTCTAAAGATTCTAAAGACTTGAAGTTCAAAAGACCCAAGGTTTCAAGAAAAGGTTCTCACAACCAAGTGATGAAGACTCTGAAGACGCAGTTCTGAAGACTCTGAAGAATTGAAGTTATGATGATCTTGTGTTATGTTCTCGCTTCTAAACTCAAGCTCGCAGGAGCCTCTGAAGTGCAGAAGGAAAGAAGATAACGTTAATGTGATACAAATAATACATAGTACAATCAACGTTTCATTCCACTACCATGAAAGGACTGACACATTGCACAATCTTGTCCCCCACGTTATTGCTCAAGCTGCCAAATGTTTCTGGAAATCCCAAGATTACCCCTCAATAGATATATTATTTTATTGGATATATAAAGACTTGAAGACTAAGAGAGAAAACTGCCAATCAATGAAATATCCACGCACAAAGCACTGTTCATAGCTTTCATATTTTTTAGTCATTATTCTTAAAATAGTTTATATATTCAGCTTGTGTAGAAGCAATACTCTTGTAAATAAAACTTGTATTCAAACGATTGTTTGATTTTTCCTTAAGGGATCGGGTAGGTCTGTATCCTTAAGAAGTCTAGGACTTGTGTGACTTAGAGGTTGTTAGTCGCTTGCAAATAGCTTGTGCAAATTGTAATCAATTTGGTTATAGTGAATTAAGTCCTCGATTGAGTGAGGCGAAATCACCTTGGCGGGTGGACTAGACTAGCTTGATAATTTTCAAGTGAACTAGTATAAACATACCTTGTTCTTTACTTCCTGTTCTTACTTATTGTTATTATCAAGAGTGAAGGAAAAAGTATTTTAACTTAAAGGGATTTTTATAGAAAAGTTTTTTTGATTTAAAATTCAATTCAACCCCCTCCCCCCTTTTTTGTGTTTTTCAAACCTTCAATTAGCATCAGAGCTCCGGTTCTGAGGAGATAAAAAGTGAATTTTTATCAACACTTAACAGTGTTCAGTATTGATCTAATGTGTGTGAAAAACCAATGGCTACACCTATTTTCACTGTTGATAATAGGGATAATGATAGAGATCACTATAGTTCAAAACCTCTTATGTTAGATGGAGAGAAATTTGACTATTGGAAGAATAGAAAGTTATTTTATGGCATATGACTTGGATCTATGAGACTTGGTAGTTTATGACTACACTCACCCAATAGACGATAAAGGTCATAAGATTGCAAGATTGCAAGAAGTGCTATTTCATATAATGAATATGAGAAAATCACAGATAGAGAGACTGCAAATTCTATCTTTGATTCTCTTCAGATGACACGTGAAGGCAACACACAAGTAAAAGAAACAAAGGCTCTGACTTTAATTCAAAAATATGAAGCCTTCAAGATGGAAGACGATAAATATGTGGAAATAATGTTTTCAATATTTCAGACTCTTGTGGCAGGACATAAGGTTCTGAATAAAGGTTACTCCACCGCAGATCATGTTAAAAAGATTATCAGAAGTCTGCCTGTAAAATGGAGACCAATGGTAACTGCTTTAAAATTGGCAAAGGATCTAAACAACACCTCTCTTGAGGAGTTGATTAGCTCTTTAAGAAGTCATGAAATATAGATGGAACAAGATGAACCTCAGAAGAGGGTAAAATCAGTTGCCCTAAAGTCTACTTCTGGGAAAACCAAGGCTTATCAAGCTAAGGAAGAATCAGAAGAAGATTCGGATGATGATGAACTCTCTCTGATATCCAGAAGAAAAAGTCAAGTCTGGAAGCACAAACAAAGCAAGTTCAGAGGTCAATGAAGGACATGTGGAAGAGGTGAATCCACTTTCGATCAGAGGAATGCTTTTGGAAAAGAAGTTACTTGCTTTGAATGTAACGAGCCTAGACATTACAAAAATGATTGTCCAAAGCTTAAGAAAGACAAGAAGTCTAAGAAAGCTTACAAAGCTAAGAAGGGTCTCATGGCAACATGGGATGATTCAAAATCAGAAGATGAAGATTCTGATGAAGAGCGTGCAAACATAACATTCATGACCAGGACCAGCAGGGGAGAAGCAACATTAAAAGACGAACTGACACTTAACTATGAGTCATACTCTGATGACGACAAAGAGGTATTTTCTTCCTTATCTCGTTCTGAACTTGAAATTGGTTTATCTGAATTAATGAAAAGATATCAACTTCTTCTAAGTAAACACAAAATCTTGAAAAAGAGATTTGTGGATACTTTTGAGAACACTACTATAGATGAGAAAAATATTTCTGACTTAAATGAAAAATTGTTTTCTTTAGAAAAATCAAACATTGCTCTGAAAAGTAAAGTCTCTAGATTGTAAGAAGAGATAATCTCTACCACATTTATTACTGATGAAGTAATCAGATATGATAGAGTTTTTCAATATTTCCTAGCTAAGAGCATAGATAGAAGCAAAATGGTTTCAATGATCTATGGTGTTAGTAGAAATGGAAGCAGAGGCTTGGGATATTCAGGACAATCAAAGAAAATTGATGAGACTCTGAATATCAAACCAAAAACTCTTTCTGAACATTTCATGTTTGGTGGCACAAAATTGAAATGTCCAGAACAAGAAAGTTCTGATACTACTGTAGCACAAACACAAACATCGAAGGAAACTTTTAAACCAAAGTATCATGCACAAATTTCACATGATTATCCTGTTGCACATAAGTCCAAAGGTGTTAGAACCTCTGGAATTGCTAACAAGAAATGACTCAGAAAATGGGTACCTAAGGATCAGATAATCTATGTTACAGATGTTCTTGATGGCGCCACTGAAACACCAATCATGGTACCTGGACAATGGATGCTTGTGACACATGACGGGCGAAAGACATATGTTCCAAGATTTAGAACTTAAGTCTGGATGAGTTGTTGGTTTTAGAGGCAATCAAAAGGGAAAGATCATCGGTTCTGGAACGATTGGTAATAGTAAACTCCCTTTTATTAACAATTCTCTTTTAGTCGAGGGTTTGATGCATAACTTATTGTCAATTAGTCAACTTAGTGACAATGGTTATGACATTATTTTTAATCAAACGTCTTGTAAAACTGTTAGTCAGAAGGATGGCTCAGTTCTGTTCAATGGCAAGAGGAAGAACAATATTTATAAAATAATATTATCATATTTGAAAATCATAATGTAAAATGTCTTATGACTGTTCAAAAATAGCAATGGGTCTGGCACAGACGTCTGGGTCATGTTAGCTTGAGAAATTTTCTCAACTAAATAAACTTGAATTGTCAGAGGCTTGCCCAATATGAAGTATACTTCAGATGCTCTTTGTGAAGCTTGTCAGAAAGGAAAATGTTCAAAACCTATTTCAAAGCTAAAAAGATTGTTTCTACTTCTAGGCCATTAGAACTTCTTCACATTTACTTATTTGGACCAATGAAAACTGCTTCTGTCAATGGTAAGAAATATGGATTTGTCATCGTTGATGATTATAGCAGATGGACATGGGTAAAATTCTTGAAACACAAGGATGAGTCATACTTTGTATTTGCTTCCTTATGTTCCCAAGTTTAAAATGAAAAAGATTTCAAAATAGTCAGAGTTCAAAGTGATTATGGTGGAGAATTTGAAAATAAAGATTTTGAAAACTTTTTGATTCAAATGGAATAGTACATGATTTTTCATGTCCTAGAACTCCACAACAAAATGAGATTGTAGAAAGGAAAAATAGAACACTGCAAGAAATGGCTCGCACCATGATTCAAGAAACTCAGATGGCTAAGCACTTTCGGGCAGAAGTAGTGAATACAACATGTTATATTCATAATAGAATCTCCATAAGACTTATTTTGGGTAAGACTCCTTATGAATTGTGGAAGAATAGAAAGCCCAATATTTCCTATTTCCATCCATTTGGATGTACTTGTTATATGTTAAACACTAAAGAGAATCTGGATAGGTTTGATTCCAAGGCA